TGTCTTTGTATGGATTTGGTATCAGAGTGATGTTGGCCTCATAGAAAGTGTTTGGGAGAATGGCCTTTGTTTAAATTTTTTGGGATAGTTGAAGAGAATTGGTATTAATTCCTCTTTAAAGGTTTGGTAGAATTCAGCAATAAAGCCATCCAATCCTGGGCTTTTTTTTTGTTGGAGACTGCTGACAACTGCTTCAGTCTCATTTTTTGTTATTGGTCTGTTCAGGTTTTCTGTTTCTTCTTGGTTCAGTCTTAACAGTTTCTGAGTGTCCAGAAATTTATCCATTTCCTCAGGTTTTCAAATTTGTTGGATATAGTTATTTATAATAGTCTCTAATGATTCTTTGTATTTCTGTGGTATTGATTTGTAATGTCTCCTTTTTCATTCTGATTTTTGTTGCTGGGGTCTTCTTTTTTAGTTAGTCTGTCTAATGGTTTTTCTATTTTGTTTATCTTTTCAGAAAACCAACTTTTTGTTATATTGATTTTTTGTGTCTCTGTTTCATTTAGTTCTGCTCTGATCTTAATTATTTCTTTCCATCTACTTATTTTGGGATTGGATTTCTCTTGTTGTTCTAGTCCTTTGAGGTGTAGCAGTAGATGGCATATTTGAAATCTTCCTGTTCTTTTGATGTAAGTGTTTATTGCAGTAAACTTTCCTCTTAGTACTGCTCTTGCAGTATCCCACAGGAAGTGTCTTTGTTTTCATTAGTTTCAAGATATATTTTGATTTCATGTTTTGGAGCATGTTGTCTAATTTCCATATGTTTTATATAGTTTTTAAAGTTTTGCTTGTTATTGATTTCTAGTTTTAATCCATTGTGGTTGAAAATATAATTGAAATGATTTCAATTTTTAAAAAACTTTGTTGAGGGCCGAACCAGTAGCTCACTTGGGAAAGTGTGGCACTGGGAGTGCAGCAGCGCTCCCGCCGCAGGTTCGGATCCTATATAGGGATGGCCGGTGCACTCACTGGCTGAGCGCGGTGCGGGTGACACCAAGCCACGGGTTGCGATCCCCTTACCAGTCACAAAAAAGCAAAAAAAAAAAAACTTTGTTGAGGCTTGATTTGTGACCTAGCATGTTCTATCCTGGAGAATGTTTCATATGCTGATGAGAAGAATGTATATTCTGTAGTTGTTGGATGAAATGTTCTATAGATATCTGCCAAATCCAATTGGTCTAATGTATAGTTTATATCCTGTGTTTCTCTGTTGATTTGCTGCCTAAATGATCTGTCTAGTGCTGGAGAGGTGTGTTCAGGTTCCCAACTATTATCATATTAGGGCTTTTTCTTTAGGTCTACTAATGTTTACTTTATATAGTTGGATGCTCTGGTATTGAGTGCATATGTATTTACGATTGCTATGTCTTCTTGCTGGATAGATCCCTTTATCATTATTTAATGGCCTTCTTTATCTCTTTTTATTGTTTTTGGTTTAAAGTCTATTTTATCCAATATAAGAATAGCTACTCCTGCTTGTTTCTGGTTTATATTTGCTTGTTGTATCTCCTTTGATCCCTTTACTATTAGTCTGTGTATGTCTTTACAAGTGAGATGAGTCTCTTGAAGACAGCATATAGTTGGATCTACCTTTTTGATCTAGTTAGTCTATGTCTTTTGAGTGAGGAATTTAAACCATTTATATTTAGGGTTGTTATTGAAAGGTATTGTCTTACTCCTGGCATTTTATTAATTTTATTTAGGATTTTTTTAATATCCTTTGTTGCTTTCTTCCCCTTTTATTGTTTGTCTTTGGTGTTTGATGGTTTTTTGAGGTGGTAAGAAATAGTTTCTTTCTCTTTCTCATTTGCATTTTTGTTTTAATAGTTCTTTCTTGTGTATTCATGGTAGTAATTATCATATTTTGGAACCAGATTCAGGACTCCCCTGAAAATTTTTTGTAGGGCTGGCCATGTGGTGGTGAACTCCTACAGTTTTTGGTTGTCTGGGAAAAACCCTATTTCTCCTCATTTCTGAAGGATAGCCTTTCTGAATATAGTGTTCTTGGCTGGGAGTTTTTTGCTTTTAGTATTTTGAAGATATCATCCCATTCTTTTCTGGCCTGTAGAGTTTCTATTGAGAAGTCTGCTGTTAGTCTTGGGGATTCCCTTGTAGGTGACTTGACTCTTTTCTCTTGTTGATTTTAGGATTCTCTCTTTCTCTTTGAGTTTTGCCAGTTTGACTAAAATGTGTCTTGGAGAGGACCTTTTTGGATTGAATCTGTGTGGGAATATTTGAGCTTTCTGGATCTGAAGGTCTGTGTCTCTCCCTATATCTAGGAAGTTTTCTGGTATTATTTTGTTGGATAGGTTTTCAATGCTTTTTCCTTTGTCTTCCCCTTCTGGATCACCAATGAGTTGGATGTTTTTGTGCTTATGGTTGCCTGATAGTTCTTTAGAATTTCTTCATCTTTTTTGTATTCTGTTTTCTTCTTCTTCTTCTTCTTCTTTTTTTGTCTGCTTGGATTATATAGAAAAGACAGACTTCTAGATCAGAAATTCTTTCTTCTTCTTGTTCTAGCCTGCTAAAAAACAGTTGTGTTTTTATTTTGTTGAATGAATTCTTTAGTTCCAGGAGTTCTGCTACATTCTTTTTTAAGGTATGAATCTCTTTGTAAATAGCCTCCTTCATATCCTGAATAGTTTTCCTCATTTCATTGTGTCATCTAACTGAGTCTTCTTGTACCTCATTGAGTTTCCTGAAGACTGTTGTTTGGAATTCCTTTTCAGTCATTTCAAGGGTTTCCTGCTTTATAGGGTCTGGTACTTGAGAACTGTTGGATTCCTTTTGGTGTCATATTTTCTTGTTTTTTTTGTTGTTGTTGTTGTTGTTGTTTGTTTTTGTATTTATGTTGATGTCTGGTCATCTGGTAGAGCAGTTGGCAGTTGCTTCTTTTATTACTCTGGAGTTGGCTTTGTGGAGAGGGACTTCCTCATGTCAATTTGTTTTATATTTACCATTGAGTAGGGTACTTCTATATTGGTTCCAGGTAGACACAGTGATGTAGTGTTTGTGGTATTCATTGTTGGAGTTGTGTATGAGTTCCTCCTTGGCCTAGGTACTAGGGCACTTATGGATTCGTTGCTGAGGTTAGTGACATTGTGTCAGGTTGTCAAGGATGTGGGGGAGCTCTTGAGTTCTTGGGAGAAGCACCTGGGTGCTCTGTTGCTCTTTGGCTGGGGTGGCTGACCCTGGGCAGGCTTGTTGGCACCTGGCTAGCATCCTGTGAGCCTGATTGGTGTACTGGGGTATACTGGAGCTCCTCAATTTGAATGGGTATTCCTTGGTAGGGTTTATCTTTCCTGTTTCCTCTGGCAGAGGTTCCTCCTGGGTTCTTGCTTCCTCAGTTGGTGGATGGATTGGTGGTTGTTGGGAAATTTCTTCTTTACTCTATTTGGATATCCTGAGTTTCTGCACTCTCCAGAGGTTCCATGTATATCTCTCTCCAGATAAAGGCAGTTGCATAAATACCTCCCACCCTCAGGTGCACTACTATGGTGGCAGCATAATTCTCCCTGTGGTTTGGGCCACTGGGTCATGGGTCTGTTCTCACTTACCTCTTTCCCCAGACTCTGCTGCTGACCTTCCTCATGTCAATGCAGTCAAGTGGTCGGCGGGCTGCCTGCATGGCAGCAGTGGCTGCTGCTATGGTGGCAGACCATTCTTGCGGTGAAAGAGGCAGCAGGTTACCCTTGCAGCATTGGTGACTGTGGTGGACTACACATGCAGCATTGATGTCTGTAGCAGCAGAGGGCCATCCATGTTCTGCCATCTGTTAGCAGGGACTACCATCACCTCCTGAGGTCCCCACACTCCTGCCATCTGTTGGTGGGGGCTTCCCTTGGCTCCTGAGGTCCCCACACTCCTGCTATCTGTTGGTGGGGGCTGCCCTCAGTTCCTGAGGTTCCCGTACTCCTGCTCTTTGTCCCCCACTTGAATTTAGTTGTCATGTCTACTTAGTCTCTTCCAATCTTGAAGACCTTGTCTTCGTCTGTCTTAACCTTGACCCTTTTAAAATGTCAGTAATTTTGTACAGTTTCCTTCAAATTGGATGTGTTTGATGATTTCTCTTGATTAGATTGAAGTTAAGCATTTCTAACAAGAATTCCACAGGAAACATGCTGTGCACTTCTCAGTGCATCACATCATAGCATCAGTTTGTCTTATTGGTGATGCTAACTTGGCTTACTTGGTTGAGGTGTTCTGTGACATATTTCTCCACTGTAAAGAACTGTTTTTCCCTTTGTAACTAATAAATATTTCGTAGGTAGATGCTTTGAGACTATTCAGATATCCTGATCTCGTTCAGTTTTTGCCCACTAATTTTAGGATACTTCAGTGACTCTTCCTGCCTAGTGATTACCGTGGTGTTTGCTTAATAGTGATTTTCTATTTCCATTGTTCCTTGTATTTTTGTTAATTGGAATTCTACTGTAAGGAATAGCTATCTCTTCTCCCCCATTTATTTATATCATACCATCGCATGTTTTGTGCATTGTATGGCAGGCAGAGTAATGCAGATATAAAAAAATGCTTTGGAAATAAACTTTCCAAACTTCTTTGCCCAGAATTTTACAGCAAAAAATTAGTTGTTTACATAAGAAACTCTGTTGACAAGTGAGAGATCAAGAAATGTTGGACCGAGCCTGTGGCGCACTCGGGAGAGTGCGGCACTGAGAGTGCAGCAGCGCTCCCGCCGCGAGTTCAGATCCTATATAGGGATGACTGGTGCGCTCACAGCGCTCACTGGCTGAGCGCGGTGCGGTCGGTCTCAAAAAAGACAAAAAAAAAAAAAAAAGAAATGTCACTCATTGTTTTAGTTTCTTTGTTTTCTTTCTTTTTTAGCTGAGAACAAAATAAAGCAGATTTTTCCACAAGCAATAGTTTACTAGTAAGACTTGGATTAATTACTTTTAATGTATTGAAAATATCTACTTTTAGTATTCATGTAAGTACTAAACATTTAAATAAGAAAAATATGTATTTTCATTTTCTAGGTGCTGGAGCAATTCTTATTCCTCGTTTAGACATTGTAATTTCCTTGGTTGGAGCCGTGAGCAGCAGCACATTGGCCCTGATCCTACCACCTTTGGTTGAAATTCTAACATTTTCTAAGGAGCATTATAATATATGGATGATCCTGAAAAATATTTCTATAGCATTTACTGGAATTGTTGGTTTCTTATTAGGTACATATGTAACTGTTGAGGAAATTATTTATCCTACCCCCACAGTTATAGCTGGCACTCCACAAATTTCCTCTCTGAATCTGAATTCAACATGCTTAACATCTGGTTTGAAATAGTAGAAGCAGAATTATGAATCTTCCAGTTTTGTCTCAGTTCTGAGAATGATTAAAGTAAGAACTAGTAAAATGCATTGCCATATATTTAAAAGTAGTACCAAACTGTGTTTTCTTTTGGCACAATATTAATATTTTAGTAGTAAATTACAGTTCTTTACTGGTAATTGTAAACTACAACAAATTCTTGATTTTAAATATTTATAATAATTTCAGAAAATTCAGTTTTGAAAATGGAAAAAAATTAAAATTAATATGTAAAAAAATTAAACAAAAAAATACTTCTGCTATTCTTCATGTCATTAAGAAATACTTTAACCAAAATTTATTTTACCCCCATGCCACTCTTTTGCTACCCAGTTGAGAAAACAGGATTTCAACAATAAGAGAATTAAATGACATATGTAACAAAAATCTCTCTAGTCCATCTCAGTGAGTGTCAAAGTAAACTTATGTAGAATGTAAAAAATATCTCAATATCTTTTTATTAGAGAACCAAATACTTACGATTATTAGCTCCTGAAGTAGAGAAAACTCCCATTAGCAATAATTTAAGCATCAGAAAATCCCCAAAGCTATACTATACTGTAATGGTAGTTGATCTTAGTCAAGAGGCACTGTGCAAGGTTCAGATGTAATGTTTCAATCAAAGTTGAAAGGGACTTTAAAGGTTATACAACTCCCTTATTTTTCATCAGAAGAAATGGAAGCCTAGAAAGATGAAGCAATTTAAGTCAAGAGCACTCAACCTTGAGATCAAGGGAACTTGATCTTCTGACTCCCAGGCCAGGACTTTTTTTTCACATCTCATCCATGAAAAAGAATAAATTAAGTTCAGTTTAATTTTAGTGTTAAGTCTATTTAATTATATCTCAATACTTTGAAGTGAATGTGTAATCTTTGAATAGTATATGTGACCTGAGCAGAAAATTAGAGAACCTTAGCCTGCACTGTGGTCATATAAACCTCAACAGGGGAAAGAAGCATGTTCTTTTTAAAAAGAACAGAGACCACTTGCTGGCATAACTGCTGGCTGGGAGAATGTGCCAAGCTACACCATGTGTGACTTGATCTCTCCTTACTGCTTCTTCCCTTTCCTGGGTTTTGTAGGCACCATCTTCCTTAATGGCAGAAAATAGATATCTCACAAAATACAGGATTTGTGGACTTCTTACAGCCCTGTGGCTTTCCTTATCACAGCCTCTTATTGATCTGAATGGGCAGAATAAAAGAACAATAAAGGGATTAATGCTTAGGAAAAATTGAGGCAATAATAAACTGTCTGCTAAATATTAAGACACTCCAGGCTTCTTCTGGAGAAATACCTTCTATTACTCCATATTCTTCAACCACAGTTATTAGCCAAAATCTCAGTTGATGGGGAAGATTAAAATTCTTAAGTTTAAAATGTTGAGAATAAGATTGTCTCCTGATTTTTAAAAAACTTTATACTTTAAAACATGAATTTTTAAATCAGGCTGGTATTACTCTAATTTGTAATACCATACTTCAAGGTATCATCAAGATCACTGTAGTGTATATATTCTCTATTTTTGTATGTAAATGTTAACTTAGTCCAAGTATTTTTTGCTTATATCATTAACTAGTCATCAAGTACAATCCTAAAGATATATCAGAAGCTTTATTTTGGTACAAATTCATAAGTACCAAAACTTTTTAAAACATTTACTTTAGATATCATCAATAATTGTGATATTTTTATATCAAATCTGTTACTTTGAGCCTTTAGTTATACTAAGAGAATGCAGAAGTTATGAGAAAAGTAATCTTCACTGAAACTAATGTTATATGATCTTGAACATAAGAATAAATTAGTTGTTTTTAAAAATTTATAACTTGGCATACAGTCAGTTGAAAACTATTTTATTAATAGAAAGCAGTATTAGGTTTTTGTTATCTGTCTTCAGATAATATTTCTAGTCTGTGTGTACTATTTTATTTTTATATTTTCACCTGCTTAGTTTCCTTATGGATTTCATCAAATGCAGTGAAGTTTTTTATAGTTGATCATAGCCATAAATTTTAAATTCAGCACAAACACATCTTGAGCATATTATCAACTAGGCTTCCTATGCAATAAGAATGCTGAATCAACATCCATTACTAAATTCACTAAATTACCAATACTTTAAATACAAGAAAATGTTGAAATGCAGAAAGGAAGAGGGGCTAAAAAGGGATAAAGTAGTTTTAATTGTTAGCAAGAAACACTATTTAGATGCAAAGTATAAATGAACTTTATAAAGGATATTCGATGATATATTTTATTTGCAAAATAATCAGTGGGTAATATTTTTTTCTCTGGAAATTTATTTTTAATGAGTCACAAAAATATTTCTAAATATTTTTGGAGAAGATATTTTGATTATACCAGCTGTTGCTTTCATTTTGGGGGCCTGGAGAAATGAGAGTTATTGCACCTGTCAAATTTTGTATCTCATCTCTTGGTCTATCACATTATGGCTAAAATCACATCAGCATTTTATCTGCCACCACAATGAAGAACTCTTCTCTGCCAGTTAATCAGTTGCCTGAGAGCCTTTTCTACTACTGAGGGGGGAGAAAGGAAAGCTTTATTTACTTCCGATGAGCTCTGTTCTAAGTTATCACTGTTCCATTATTCTCAGTATCAGAGTCAACTTGTCGAAATGCTAGTTCTCAGACATTTTATCAGAGGATCTTTTTTCCCCACATAACCAGATTCTTATTTCTAGTTCTTCTTTAATTATGAAGAAATAAGAACTAGGGCTATTCCTTGGTTTAAAGACCAGCTTAGGTGGTGTTACCAAGTGAAAACAAGTACTATATTAGCAGATGCCATATTTCAGTGTGAAATTAGCTAGATCCTACATTCACGTGTGTGCGCACACAGATACACACATCAGTAATCTATGTGATCTAGATACCAATACTAATTTACCATTTAAATTGGGTCCAGAAGGATGTTGTATTGAAAATCTCACTCTAAAAGTATTGCATTAGAGTTTTCTTGATAACAAATATAAAAATACAAGTTTATACCCTGAATAAATTAAGCTGTGGAATTTTGTTTTTCAAATGATTTTGTTAGTTTGAATGTAAACTAAATATTACTGCACTTTAGTCAATTCTTCTAATTTATTTTTCTTTATAACAGTATGAAAGAACCTGTTAAGGTATTGTAACTCTTTTGAATTTTCAATAAAATATTTTGCTTGTAATTGCCTTTTTAAATAAATTTGTCTTTTATAACGTTAAATGACATTGACAAATGTGATAAGCTGAAATGGTACTAGAATAATGGGAAGTTGATGTTATGTACCTCTACGACTTAAGGGCAGAAGTTGATTAAAAATGAAAAAACACACCCAAAACCATGACCTAAACTTCATACAGAGTGAATGCAAGATGAGCAGTCTGCAGGTGCTATATCTAGGACTTAAGTTTGCACTTTCTTAAAGTCAAGAATATGTATCAGTCATTTTGCCTGCATTATAAAATTGAAAAATGCTTTTGGAAAACATTATGCCAAACCATATCATAGATCATAAAGATATTTATACCTTTACATTAGTAATCCTGCTCTTGTGAACTTAACATATGAAGACATATTATCATCAGAAGAGAGAATATATGCCTAAAGGTGCATCTGCAACATTGCTTTAACAGTGAGAAATTGGAAACAACGTACATTCAACAATAAGATCATAAATTATATCTTAACCTAGAACACAATGAAGATTGTGTTAACTAGACTAAAGTTCTACTGAAGACTAATAATTTGGGAAAGGAAAAATACATAAAATTAATTTTTAATTGCAGCTTTGCAAAAATATGCTTTTGGACTAAGACAAGGAGATATTCAGAAAATGGAACTGGAGCGTTAGAATAAAGAAATGGATTTTATTATGTTTAAATGACTAGTCAAATGAGGGCTGTGAGAGAAATAAAGGGAAATGGTTTGGTGAAGGAAACAAGGAATTCATAAAGTCTTACTGGTAGGTAGTACATGCTCCTGGCAAGCAGCAGAAGGAATACAAGAAGATCAAAAAAAAAAAAAAGAGTGGGGATAGGACTAGGTACGTAGAGATGTAAATGCAATGAAAAGCTCTACGGAATACTTGCTGGAGGAAAAAAAAAAATTAAATATGGCTACTTTGTAAAATTTTGTGTTTTTTTAATCCAAAAGGGTTACAGCTGTTGTTCTTAGCAGATATATAAGCTTATAAAATTTTGCATATGGGTTGACAGGATTCATATTTCAAGGGGTCAATGGACTCCAGGGGAAAGGTTTCTTGGGAAAGGTTGTGCATCAGTTTTTGAAGAACAAATTTGAAAAAACAAATTTTTTCAGTTTCCCTCTGCAGATAGGTTTGGTTGATGACTTGAAATGGTGTGAGGGAATTGGGTCTTTTGGTCTTCACTATTTTCTGGTGCCATGAAGCATGGGACCAACTGGTACCAGATGTTAGAATGCTTCTCAAACTAAAGTTAATATGTTAATCTTGCCGAGGAATTACAGAGTAAACCTTCTCTCCGTGCTGGATCTTGATCTATGCTAAATGACAGGGACTGGCCACTGAATACCCACCTGCACTGAGCAGAGAGGAAAGGTGTGCTAGGTTTGGACCAAGATTGAGTAGGTCTAGAGTAGAACGAGAAAGTGAACCCCAACCCCCCACCCCTGCAGAAAGAAAAAGGCAATGCAGAAATGAGCACCTCAGATCATGAACCTGTAGTGTCTTATTTATCTTGTAGATAACAGTAGTCGACAAGGGCACGGAACACGCATTTGAAAATCTGATCCTGTCACATTCCTTTCTTAAATTTTCTATCCTTCCCCAATCTCGGCTACGCAAACACCAAGCTCCTTAACGTGGTGGCAGGTACACTAGCAGGCCTCACTCCCTGCCTCACCTTACATGTTATAGCAACACTAAACTGCTACAACACTGCAAACACACTACACACATTCTGTTTTTCATCTGCATGATTCCATCATCTCATGCTAAAATGATTTCCTTCTACTCCCCCATTTTTTCCTGGGCTAATCCTTGGTTATTGTTAAGATTCAGTTTAAGTGTCTATTCTAACAGGAAGCCTTCCATATATCCTTGCCCCTACCCAGAGTGAGTTGTGTATTTCTCAAATTTTTTTCCTCAATTTTTTTTGTTTCTTCTCTGTTTGCCTTCCCCTAGACAGTATAAGCTCCATAAGGGAGGAAATTTTGTCAGTTATGTTCACTGCTGAAAATACAGTGCCTAGAAGAGAGTGAGGCACAAGCAGATGTTCAAAAAAATTGTTGAATGAATTGGCACAAAACAAAAACATGGACAAGCCCATAATAGAGTTCTTGTACTTAATGAAATTTTTAAGCACAGGGGCAAAGTCATGCTTTTTGTACTGTCCCTTCTGCCCCTGTGTCTATTTGTTGAATGAATGTGTCTGGCCTGCTTTTCCACTTTGTATGCTAGCTCAGCAGACTATAATCCTGTAAAGCAAAGACACCCAAATCTGAGTGTCTTACAGAAAATCCTATGAATCAGACAAACCTTAAAAACATATTCATCAGGTTCTGGTAAAATATGTGAACTCTATAATAAGGAAAATATTAAAAACCCTTCTTCACAAGCCTTTACATCTTCATGTTTTATGTGAGCAGTTTGTTTGGTAGGAAAAAAAAATCAGTTATACTTTCTACCCATTGTTTAAAAAATTAGATATAACCTAAAATGGAAGTGGCCTCTTTATTTCTAAAAAGACAAAAATGCATAATATCTAGCCAGGGTTGAGAATATTTTTCTGAGCTTTTGATGCCCAAGTTGCCTGCTTGTAAAAGAGTCATACACTCAATAGTTTTTTTGGAATCTCACAAAAGTGGGCATTCTCTGACTGTTCTGAGAACCTGTCTATTTTCTGAGCTCATCACAGTGTATTCCATAAATGGGCCCCCAGTGCAAGCCAAGAATGGGAATCTATAAATGTGGGGGAAAGTGGCCCTGCAAACACGATCATTTTGTAGAAATAGCTAGAAAAGAAAAAGAAAAGTGGAAATAAGAATAACAATGAATATCTGAAAATAGGAATTAATTTAACTGAAAATCCATTTGCTCCAGTACATTGTTTTTCATGAGACTTTGCCCAAGTGTGTTATTAGCACACAAAGTAGAGTGTGCTCTGTGGTAAAAAGCAATTACCACAGCCATACTTTTCAGTATAAATAGATTAATTTTGCCACTGGAAGAAGACAATAGGCCTCAAGATTACACTCCTAATGGCAAAAATAGATACGGATCACCCTCTTTGTGATATGCTTAGAAAACTAGCCACCCAATGTTAATACTGGTAAGTATTGATATGAAGAGACACTGCTGGAAATCTCACAGCTATGGTGTACAAGGTGGACAATGCTCATCCAATGGGCATGCTGGCTGTGATTTCACTTTTCAGCCTATGCCATATAGTGTGAGTATGAAGGAAGTGCCTGAAGGCTTTTGGTTATTGTAATACAGAAAACCCATATCACAGGAGAAGAGCTTTTTTTTTTTTTAATTAAAAATTATTTTGGAGTCATTATATAGACTGGACAAGATGTGTCGTACTCAGATCTGACAGAGGCTCGGATTTATTACAAGATTAGGAGGGTAGCTGCTAAATGCAAATCTACACACTGCTTGGTTCCCAGAGATTAATTAGCAGACTATTGAAGTACCACTTGACTGCAATTTTATGTTTAAGGAAAGAGTAAAAATTGTAACTAAGACCACCTTACAGCTATTGAGTGTACACCTTTTCAGCATGTCCTGTCAGGAAATGGGCAGCAAATACATGACACTGCTTTTCCCCACTGAAAAACACTGGTTGGTAGAGGGAAAGGTGGTCCTAGGAGCTGAAAACAAGGAAAAATGACAATAAAGACCACTTTTATCATTTCAAATGTGGTATATCTCAGCAATATCCGTAATTATCCTGAAAAGCCAGAACTTATCACTTCAGGGATGAGCTTTTGCCAGCTTTCAATGGCAAAGATAAGATGTTAGGATTAAAACAAAACAAAACAGGCTATGGTACAATTGTATCAGTCACTAGGAATTTGACTCATTCCCAATATGTGATGATTTTCTTTTTCATTAGAGAAAACAAAATAGTGAAATTTTCTTGGGCATGTTTAAAAACTACACCAAGATGCTGCAATAGAACATAAAGAATTGCTCTACAGAGTTCAACACCATCAGAATAGATCAGGAATTTATTTGTCACTAACCCGCAGGTGGAACCAAACTGCCAGATTTATTTTTTAATTTATTTTTTAATTTATTTTTTGTCTTTTTTCCGTGTCCGGCAATGGATCGCAACCCTCAGTGTTGCCCCCGTACCGGACCGGGACCGGCAACGGGATCGCAACCCTCGGTGTTGCCCCCGCGCCTCGCTCAGCCAGTGAGCGGGAACCGGTCTGTATGTGGGATCCGAACCCTCGGCGGGAGCGCCGCCGCACTTCCCAAGCGGCGCTCTAGCGCAGTGCGCCACCGGGCCGGCCCACCAGATTTATTTTTGACGGTGTGGTTAGAGTTTTCAAGGTACTGCTCACTGATAAGTCTCTCCATTAATTCTGGGTCCATGTTTGAACTGAATACCTGGAACTATCAGATGGAGCATCAACACTTGCTGACATTCCCAATGATCTGTAATTATAATTTTGAATTCTCTAATTTAGCAGCAATAGAGGCAGGAAAGAGACATACTGCATGTAGAACCTAATGCTTCAATTGTTGAACCAAAAACTTAGTGAAAAGTAAGTAATGAGTTCATCCCTCTTCCACTGGCATGAAACAATTGTTCTTACCATTAATATTATGTTCAGTTTTTATAACTTAAATACTTATCATGTCTCTTTCTATTTACTTACAGCTAATGGTCCAAGAGTACACTGAGTAACCATTAAGTGCTTTGGGGATAACAAAAATTTGAGAGACGTTGGTGAGAGATTGTTGGTGGAATGAACAGGTGGGAGAATTGTCTAGGATACACGATGCCTGAATGTAGTAAAAGATTGCCCTCAAATGGTTTTTCTGGTGGCAGCCATGGAAAATTGGAAATGTGTAGAGAACAGGTGCGAGGGGGAAAGTATTACAAGTCCTAGGATTTGCATTTGAAGAAAACAATGAATATGAGGATGATGAATCTTTTGAGACTTAATATATAAGTGATAGAAATGATA